ACACCTCCACGGAGCTCAGCGCGATTCACAACGTCCCGACCAATCAGAGCACACTGTGCTCACAGGGAGGGTGGGGGCTGGAGCTACTGGAGCTACAACGAGCCGTTAAAAGGCAGAGAGTGAAATTCAGTGAATACACGTAGTTTACAGAGATGCTGTATGAGAAACCAATGTGAGTTTGGAAAATTGCAAAAAATATATCTATGCTAGTAGACCTCAACAATGGAATTATGATCAGTGGAAATGGCCATGACATGTCTCCTTTAATAGAGATCTGATTAGACCTCTCTGCGACCTCTCTGCGACCTCTTTATTTCACTGTCATGTACTACCAAATATGGTCATCGGTCAATTTATGGACATAGAGAGTGGACCGCTGATCAATGCAGCACAGAGTTGAACATAGTACAGTCATGGGATGGAGCACACTCACTATGAAGGCAATAGCTGAGGTGTAGACGGAGTGCCAATTGGATAAGGCGGAGAGGTTCCTCAAGAAGTTGGTGACAGGTCTGGCTCCTCGCTCTGAAAAAGAAGAGTAGAGGGATAGTGTCCTTTAGGTGTGTGATCTTTCTGGGAAATTGTACAATCAGCACCTTTTGTATTTTCTACATGAATATATGTTAGTGTCCTTGAAAAATAAATTGTCATGGGTGGACAAATTGTACTTTAAGTGTGCAAAGAAAATGCAAAGTCAAAGTGTGTATTGGAAAATCATGTACAGAAGCAGGGTACAATATCCATACTCAAAGATGAATGTTGTACTCACAGCAGATTAAGTGTTGAAACTGTACTCCTTTTGTAGTGTGTGTTTGTGTGTGTTTTGAGTACTCACTGAGTCGCCTCATATTTTCTGTTAACCTGGATGGAAAAACACAAAGGGTGAAGGTCAGAACGCGAAGCTCTAAACACTAAACAAAAAAGGATCATTATGTTCCCGAGTGCGTGGTAACACTTTGGCCTTCATCAGCCTGGAATGACTCACTTGCCTTTAGAAATCAGGAGAGAAAGAATGGAACGGAGAGAAAGGAATTCAGAAAAAGTCCTCTGTGTTCCCTCCCCGCAAAGTCATGGGAGAACATCTCATCTAGCAACAAGTGAACAGTTTGAAGAAGTGGAGTCTGCTGCAGTGCATCGGTAGGATAAGTCAAAGATAGTTAGCTAACATTGAGGACACGTTCAAGCTCTAAAACAAGACATACTCTGCCACTATCATACTTCGAGCACTCTGTTCCTACGGTGGTGATCCTTTCTGCTATCTCCCACTTCTGTGCAACTTTTAAGAAACTGCCGCACGATTCGGCTAAATGCCTTTCCTCCGTTTTCACCACACCTAAAGCTAACAAGTGCAGGTGTGCTGTTACACCGAGGTAGTTGCCTCGGCGATGTCCGGTGGTCTTCACTCAATGCAATACATGTAGCTTGTGCCAATTCCTCTGCTTTCTTTGCCTCTACTCTGCAAGGCAATTCATGGTAAACATCAACGCTGGAGATATGTTGGGAGGTTGGGGTGTTTGTAACGTGATCAATTTGTGTTACTTTTTTTAAATGCTTTAAGGTTTCCAGATTAATCGCAAACAATAAAGTGTTGACAGCAGATTCAACCCTGAGGACGGACACTTCCTGATCTCTTGCAGCTCTCACCCACCTCTTAGCACTTAGTGGTTCCTCAGCCTCCACCGTGCTCTCCTCCGGCTGGAAGCGGAAGTCCTCGATGTAGACCCCGAAGCGCTCGTACACCCACTTCTGCAGCCGCGAACTCCACACCTCTTTCTGCTGTTTGTCTGGTGGAGAGAACAGAAGTGTGTTCATGTTTCTAAACTCTGTGTTGTTTTGCCTTGAGCACACTTTTTCTAATATTATTTTCTACAACAATAAGTGTGTTTTGCCCCGAGCAGTGCACACTACCCACAGCTGCTCCGGGGGAACTGCTAAGTATACATTTATTGACTGTGATTGTACTGTGCCGCTACTCCAGGCGACTGTGATTAACTGTGGGAATGGAAGCTGTGTACTCTGTGTCACTGGGAGCATAGACACACACTGTGCAAAAAAAGATCTCGTCATTATGGCAAAGTGAAAGCTATAGCAAGGGTTTTTCCTGCCGTGGACACAGACACACTCTTCCATCCTAGAAAAAGCTCTGACGTCCAAACACACCTGACATTCATTGGAGTGCAGGCCTGCCTGCCCTAGATGAGGCGTTCTAAAATCATAACCCAATTTCCCAAATTAGCCGCACAGACAACACACTCTTCACAAATACCATCTGACTCATACTGCATTAATGAGCTCCGTGTTCCCTCACTGACGTGTTTTAAAACACACACACAAGCATCCCTATGGCACTGACACATGCCGTGCATATCTGTATGGATGACATCAGTTAATAGTTAGTAGAATAGTTTTTGATAAATGCAGTTGGTTAAAGGGGCCCTATTATGCTTTTGGGGGTTTCTCCTTTCCTGTAGTGCGTTATTTTTGATTTTTTTTTTGATTTTTTTGATTTTTATATACTTTATTAATCCCCGTGGGGAAATTGTTTCTCTGCATTTGACCCATCCTAGTGTTAGGAGCAGTGTGCTGCCATTTTGAACGGCGCCCGGGGAGCAGTGTAGGGGACGGTGCCTTGCTCAGGGGCACCTCGGTAGCACTTGGTCTTGCNTGATAAATGCAGTTGGTTAAAGGGGCCCTATTATGCTTTTGGGGGTTTCCCCTTTCCTGTAGTGCGTTATATAGATTTGAGTGCATGTAAATGGTCTGCAAAGGCTAAAATCCCAGAGTTCTCTCCAGAGGGAGTTTCT